ATGTGTCGATTGTCCCTAAAAATTGGCTGCCTCGATGTGTCGGTTGTCCCTAAAAATTGACTGCCTCGATGTGTCGGTTATCCCTAAAAATTGGCTGCCTTTATATAGGATCGATAATTGCCTCGGTTTGTCGATTATCTTTAATTATTGGTTGCTTTCAAATATAGTACCTATAGTAGCCTTAATACGTCAGTTGTTCCTAATTATTGGCTGTCTTGAATATGGGATCAATAGATGCCTCGATGTGTCGATGTCCAATTATTGGTTACCTTAATGAGTCGTCTTTTCTCAAGGACTGATAGTTGCATTGACATGTTGTTGTCCCTTAAAGAAATATAGATCAATGGTTGGCTTGAAATATTATGCCTTTATATGTCGGTTTGTCTCTAAAAATTGGTTACCTCGAAATGTAGGACAAATGTTTGCTTCAACATATTGATTGTCCCTAAAGATATGTTGTTGTGTCCCTAAACATTGCCTTGATATGATAGCTTGGTTGTCCCTAAACATTGATTGTTGGTTGTCTTGATTTGATAGGTTGGTTGTCCCTAAAAGTTGGTTGTTAATATGATGTTGGTTGTCCTTAAAAGTTGGTTGTTTTGATATGATGTTGGTTGTCTCAATATATTGGTTATCCTAAAAATTGGTTACCTCAAAATGTAGAACCAATGGTTGCCTCAATATATCGGTTGTCCATTAAAATAATTGGTTGCCTTGATATGTCGCCTTAAAATATATGACCAGGGTTTGCTTCGCCACCCAACACCTTTCATGGGATATTAGATTGAATGTACACCCATGCTCCTCCATTTGGCAGGGAGTGAGGACGGGTTGTCGAGTCGAACTCAAAGTGGGCTTTCTTCGACGATGCTTGCACGTGGTTGTTCCGTTTGTTGGCTTTCAATGATAAGAAACGACCTAGCTTGCTAGTCACAACATGCTTGCCCCAAGAGAGACGAGATCTCTTACGATCGCTCTCTCATTCGACAAAAGGGCTTATCCATTAATAAAAAGATGGTTTTGGAAAGGTGTTGGTTGTTTGACCGTGCATGACGTTGCAAGCTCGACTTTGTCCGACAATTTCACACCCTTTTGTAGTGGTGGAAGACCTTATGGCATTCAAACATCCCAACCAAGGTTAAGGTTTTTGGGTAGGTTGGAGTGCTTTTAGGAGAAAATTTAATGAGAAAGAGAATCTTGAACCATGAGCAGCATGGAAGATGTGGCCATTTAAAATAAAATTTTATCAATGCTCTGTCGAGGTGCAAATAGAGTAAGAGCCTTTGGAAAGAAACACCTTTCTACTATGATAATTGGCTTTGAACGATAACTTCGCTTTCTGACCTTGTGGTGGTCTAAAGACAATCTAGATAAAACCAATTTAGAGTTCTTCCTGATTATGACATGGACATGGGCAGTGTGGAATCCAAGGAATAATTTTGTTTTTAAGGGATGTGGAGAAAGGTAATTTAGAAATCTTCCTGATCATGACATGGGCAGTGTGGAATCTAAGGAATAATTTTGTTTTTAAGGGATGTGGAGAAAGGAGGCAACCTATGATTGAGGAGCAATATGGACTTGAGCTCAAAATTATGCTCAACGGTATAAAGAGGCAAATCAAAAGGGAACATCAACGAGTGATATTTTACCACATCAGAAACCCAACCACGTCAGCGCGGAAGCCCCTCCCTTACACCAGTCAAAAATGAACATTGATGTCGCGATTAAACAAGACGATATGAGAGTGGGGATGGGAGCCGTGCTTTAGAATCACGAGGGAAAGGTTCTTAGCTTTTTAAAAGTAATATGGAGCTCTTTCGAGGTGGACATGGCACTGAGTCTAGCGATTTGGACAGTCTTTAGTAATATAGAGTTCTTTCGAGGTGGAAAAGGAAAGTTGTACTCCTTCCATTTCTCTGTTGAATTCAGGTAATTTTTCTAAAGCCCTATCTTTTTTCTTCAAGTTCAATGGTTGTACTGATTATGTTTCAGGTGTGTAGAAGAATCGAGCTGATTGATTCGGTTGAAAACCAGTTTTCCAGGTACTTGCTTATAAATCACGGGCAATGGGTGAGAGCCTTTGATATTTTTTGCTCTATTTTTCTTCAAGAACATGCAAGTGATTCTCTTTCAGCCCTTTGGGTCAAATGGGTCAAATGGGTCAAATATTAATTGATGATGTCATGACTTGAGAAAATCATTTTTTATGATCTTTCCAATCTTTGGACTCACCCAAAATGAACATGGTAGAGAGGATTTGGTAAGAAAGATATCAAAGTTTGTTTCTCTATCTCCACTCGCTCTTTCTGTTTTCTAACTAATAAAAATGCATTTTGTAGAGGTGGAAAACAAAATATGTACAGAGTTGAAATAAAAGTTGTAATCCTTTCATCTCTCTCATTTTCCTTAATCTGAATCTCTTTTCTTCAATAGTAATGGTTTTATGATTATGTTTCAGGTAAATAGAAGAATTGAGCTCATTGATTCGTTTGATAACCAAGTTTCCTGGTACATGCTTATAAATCAAGGTCAATAGGTAAGTACATTGCATTATTTTTTGCTTCATTTTTCTTAAAGAACATTTATTTAATTCCCTTTGAGGTATTTGCATCAAATATTGATCAATGATGCCACAACTTGAAAGAGTAATTTATGTGATTTTTCAAACTTCGTACTCTCCCATAATGGATATGGAAGAAAGGGTTTGGTAGGAAAGACGTCAAGGTTTGTTTCTTTATCTCCACTCACTCTTTCTGTTATCTAACTAATAAAAATTCATTTTGCAGAGGTGGAAAACAGAATAGTTGAAAAGAAAAGAAAAGTTGCAGAGGTTTGTTTATTCCATCTCTCTCTCGACTTTAGGTACTTTTTCTCAATCTGAATCTATTTTCTTCAATTGTAATGGTTGTATGATTATGTATTAGGTAAATAGAAGAACCGATCTCATTGATTCGTTTGAAAACCAATTTTGGGTAAGTGCAATGCACTATTTTTTGCTCCATTTTTCTTGAAGAACATGCATGATATTCTCTTTCAGGTCTTTGGGTCAACGTTGACAGATGATGCCATGGCTTGAAAGAACTATTTTTATGTGATTTTTTCAAGACTTCGGACTCACCCAAAATGGCTATGGAAGGGAGGGTCTGGTATGAAAGACATCAAATTTTGTTTCTCTCTCCAGTCACTATTTCTCTCCCTATAACTAATAAAAATGCATTTTGTAGTTTTAAAAAACAAAATACGTTCCGAAGTTGAAAAGAAAAGCAGTAATCCGTCCCGTCTATCTCCTCTCAATTTCAGGTACTCTTTCTCAATCCTTATATCTTTTTATCAAATTTGAAGTTTGTATGATTATGTTTTAGGTAAGTATAAGAACCGAGCTAATTGATTCGCTTGAAATCCAGTTCCCCAGCACATGCTTATAAATCAAGGGTAATGGGTGAGTGCATTGCATTATTTTTTTCTCCATTTTTCTAAAGAACATATATGTAATTCTCTTCCAGGTCTTTTGGTCAAACATTGACAAATGATGTCATGACTTGAAAGGATCATTTTATGTGATTTTTTTCAAGCTTTCGAACTCACCTGAAATGGCTATGGTAGGAAAGCGATCAAGGTTTGTTTCTGTCTCTCCGCTCACACTTTCTCTTCCTTTGACCAAAAAAATGCATGTTTTAGAGATGGAAAACAAAATGCATACAAAAATTGAAAAGAAAAGTTCTTTTTTTCTTCAAGTTTAATGGTTGTATTGATTATGTTTTAGGTGAGTAGAAGAATCGAGTTGATTGATTCGGTTGAAAACCAGTTTTCTAGGTACATGTTTATAAATCATGGGTAACGGGTGAGTGCCTTTGATTATTTATTCATCCATTTTTCTTGAAGAGCATGCATGGGATTCTCTTTAAGGTCTTTTGGTCAAGATATGTCAGCTGTCCCTACTTATTTGTTGCCTCTAAATATAGGACCAATCCTTGATTTGTGAGTTGTATCTAAATATTTGTTGTCCCGAAACAATGGACCAATGGTTGCCACGGTATGTCAGTTGTCCCTAAATTTGTTGACTTGAAATACATGACGAATGGGTTCTTCTTGATGTCGGTTGTCCCTAAATATTGAGGACCAAGGGTTGCCTTCATTTTTCAATTGTCCCTACATATTGGTTGTTCAGATATAAAGGAACAGTGATTGCCGCAGTAGGTTGATTGTCCCTAAATATTGGTTGACTTGAAATATAGGACAAATAGTTGCACGTTATGTCGTTTGTCCCAATATAGGACCAAAGTCTTGATATGTCAGTTGTCCTTCAATATTAGTCGCCTCAAAATTAAACACAAATAGTTGTCTTAATATGTAAGATGTCTCAAAATATTGGTTGTCTTGAAAGAAGAGGATAAATGGCTGCCTCAATATGTTGATTTTCCCTTAATATTTGTTGGCTATAATTATAAGACTAATAGTTGTCTCGATACTTTGGTTATCCCTAAGTATTGGTTGACTCAAAATAAAGGACCTATAGTTGCCTTAAAATGAAGGAACTATGATTGCATCAATATGTTGGTTGTTCCTAACTATTAGTTTCCTCGAAATAAATGACCAAGCTTTGATATGTCGGTTGTCCCTAAATTTTTGTTACCTCATAACAGAACCAATGGTTGCCACAATATGTGGCTGTCCCTAAATATTGGTTGCATCGATATAATAATTTTTATTAGACTTATCAGAGTAACCTCGGATTACTTCCCAATTCAGTTGGATTTTGGGTACATTAAATCGGGTCCAACTCCCTTCAGATCCAAGAACATGTGGCTGCTTCATCCCTCTTTCCATCCCTTTCTTGATTCTTGGTGGATAAACAATCCTCTCCATGGCTAGGGCATGGATTGATGGTGAAGCTTAAATCCTTGAAATCAACAAAGATACTTTTGGAGGTATGCACTCAAAAAAAGAAACAGCCTACAGTTGCTTTCCTTTTATGCTTCCCTACGTGGAAAATGAATCAAACCTGTTTTGATACTCAAGGAAATTGAATCAAACCTGTTTTGATACTCAAGGAAATTGATGATGTAGAAAGTATAGCCCCTGTCCCTAGCTTTTCAGAATGAGCAGACTTACATAAAGGTACAACTTTTAGATATGGCAGCTAACGAAGAAATTTATTGGTGGCAAAAATCCAAACTAAAATGGTATCATGATGGCGTTCCAGATTTTTTTGAAAAAATGATATCATCAATGCTAACCTCAATGAAATCTTTATATGCCTACTTGATTTGGATGAAATAAAATATTTGGATAGAATAAAATATTTGTATTCCAATATGTATCAAGAAATACATAGTCTTCTTATATAGGAGAAAGGCTCAATACATAATAGAAAATAAGAATAAAATAACCATTAATATTTACGGTTAATATCCATGAATAAACCATCATGCCCCATCCCAAAGAAAAAATATGCGAAAGCAGTACATGATTATCAGCCTATAAGCATCACTTTCTAGAAAAGATTTCCGCAAAGAACACTCAAGTTCCTTAATAACCGATGAGAGGAGTTTAAAATACGTTGAAATGTTGGCTAGATTCGAATTGCAAATAGTTAATCTTCTCCTTCTTGAAAGATCAAAATGACTCCATTTTGCCAATTTCTTTGAAATTTTCTCATGGATGAGTTGTCAAAACATGAGTAACTTTGGGTTCCTTCCAAGTGGCAAACATAGATAGTAGAACAGAAGAGAGACTAGACCGCCTTGAATTCAAGCCTAGAGGATAGCTGACTTATCCTTTGTTGATCAATGTTGATTTCACAAATAGAGGATTTATCCCAATTCATTTTTAGATCTGAAAGCCATTCAAATAAATCGATAGAGTTCTGCAAATAATTCAACGAACTATCATCATCTTTATAAAGTAGCAACCTATCTTCTGCAAATTGAAGATGAGAGATGTGCAGTTTTCTGTTGCCCGACAATGAAGCCTTCAACAAGGTCTTTAGAAAAAAAGGAAAGGAAAAAGAGGATCTCCTTGCTTTTAAGCCTCAGTAGGTTGAAATTCTTCCTCGTGGTCTCCCATTTATAAAGATCGAGAATTTGGTTTTAGGACAATTTCAAGGAGGTCCCAATCCACCATGTTGATTTTCGAGGTCAAGTTTCAAGATCCAACCTTGCTTCTTTAGCCATTTGTATTCCTCTACCAATTTGTTGGCAATAAGAATGGGATCAAGTATTTGTCTCCAATGAATGCACTTTGATTTATAGAGATGGTGGATGGCAGGACCTTCTTGAAATGTTCGGAGAGAACTCTTGCTAGCACCTTGTAGATTGAAGTTAAGAGGCTTATTTGTTTAAAATCTTTCACGCAGTGCATTGAAAGAAAACAAGAAATCAGAGGACGACTGACCTCCGATTCGAGTGAGTAGTCTTTATTAGCTTGGATTTACTATTTGTGCATGTTGTCTCTGATCTAATGCTTTCAATTATTAAGGAAATTTTGATGGTTGTGATACACGAATTCTAGAAATACGAAAAAATGATCTGTCAACTATGTGATTGAGAACTTATGTTGTCTCCACGTATAACTAATGATGACTCTCGCTGTATATATATTCTCCATGACGTTTGTATGGTGGATTAAGTAGGTCGTTGAAGCCAAAATACAGATGGAGGAAATGATCACTGAGCCTTACATTCCTAGGAAGTATGTAACATGATTTGCACAAAGCATTTGTTGTTATTTTCTTCCATTTGCCTTTGAATTGTAAAATTTTTCATACTAGGATGTGGTACGTAAATTCAGTTATGGAGCAACTTAACTCAATAACATCGGTCACTTGGACGAAAATGACATCTATGCTAGCTGGTCATTCTACAGCTTTATTCGTGCTCAAGTTCTCTTTTTTATTTTTTTGGTGATAACTTTTTATGGTTATTATTTTTGTATGTTTTAGAATTTAGCATTGCTATTTTGTTTATTTTGCAATTTGTGGTTCTTAGTAAAACATTGAAGTTTTTTCTTATTTGAACTACTCACTATGGGTCGATAATTTTGTTTTAGTTACCTGCCTCAAATTTTTTGTTAATCAATAATGTTTTTACTGAATTTTCTATGCATTGAGTTTTTAATTTTCTTGTCTCGAGGGTGAATTCCTCGTACTATAAAATACTTGAGCATATAGTCCTTTCTCTTCTCTTGTAGGTTGTAGCTTTAATCGAGTCTAGGAGTAATCATATTTATGTTAAAACATTACCATTTTTTGTTTGTATGATTATGGAGAACTATCACGATTGACGAAGATAAGTTCCCAATCTTCAAGTATATTAATCATAAGAATTATTTTAACATCGATTTGTATTCATTTTTCTTGTATGCCTGGTGTAACTCAAGTAATTTATTGAATTATTTAGTTCATGAGAACCAAATCATGTCCTTACTATTGAAAAATTGTCGGCTCTTTATCTTTTTAAAAGTCTCTATTTTTGCATTTCTCTCCCCGGCTTGCTTTTGGTACAAATATTAAATTTTTAATGATGGTGGGTTGTATTCGCCAATTTTTGCAATAATAGTGGGTTCTATTTAGCATAAGTTCTAGTTGCATTGTAAACTTTTAAATGGTTGAATCATTTGAAAATATCTTTAGAGTATGTAACATATTCAAAATTGCACTCTGTGGTTCTCTTTGCTGGCTTATAATTCCTAGCTCTTATGTTAGGCATGAGGATCGTGGGTTAAATATCAATTTGCTGCTTTTTTTAATGTCGAGCACTTGGGAAAATTAAATAAATTTTGGTCTAAAATAGTAAAATCTTACAAATTAATATGTTAACGGTCTTAATTAATCACACCTGGCCATTAGCTGTCAATTTTGCAGTTTTAGAGGATTGCGGTTTTTACGATTGCCAGCTGGCATAAGTCTAACTCAGTCAATGTCCCACTGCTTCCAAGTTACGCTGGCTTACTATACAAGTTACTTGCCCTATTTATATGGGGTTTGCATTTTCCGCCTCCACAACTCGCGCTCGATCTGTCCACTCTCTCTCTGTTTTCCCAACTGCTTCATTTTTTGTGGAGTCGCTGTATGGCGAGGAGTGCATCTCTCTTTCTCCTTCGTTAAACCATTTTTCGGTGACCGGCAACCATTGTTCCTCGATATTCTTCGCAACTAGATAGAAGCAGCGCATCGATATTCGTCTATGAAGAGACCGAGGCTACACTACAGGCGACAGGTTGTGTAGTCCGATCATTGTCCATCGTTCATCGCGATAACTACGTAAACTCTTCACCACTATTTTGAATTCGTTCCCTTCTCATTTGTTGCATTGATTTGATATTCTTCTCATACATCCTTCTCCGAATTCACCATCACAGTAGAGAACGTCCTTTACAATGACGGAATTTCACCGGTTTGATCTTCTAGGACTTCATCCACGAAAGTAATGTCTACAACTGAGTGACTTTTTTTCATTGCATTGAAATCAAAGACACGTAATATTATTATTTTTAATTATTCCCCCATTTTCCAATAAGAGGGCGATATTTTGAGTCTCTGCTATTCACATGAGAATGGTTCAATATTCGGTGCAACATGTTAAGTCTGATCAATGTACTTCTTGGATTGTCTGTAGTTGTTGAAAATCAAACCAAATTTGCCCCTTTGTTAAAATTTCGTTTTATTATTTATTATTTTCTTGTTTCGGGTGTAGGTTAAATTTTCGTTTAAATCATAGAAATTGATATTGATAACGGTTTTTATTAATTACACCTTTTGGCCGTTAGCTGGCAGTTTTGCGCTGCGACGGATTGACAGCTGGCAAAGAGTGAAGGAATGACCGGGTCAAAGTCCCACTGCGTCCAAGTTACGCTGCCATGCCCTATATATAGGGTTTGCATTTCCCCGCCTCTCCATCTCGCGCTCTCTCTACTTCAGTCTCTCTTTTGTCTTCCAACTGCTTCAGAATCGGGAGTTCGCTGAATGACAATGAGGAATCGACGGGCAGCCATTGTTTCTCGATATTCTTTGCAATGAGATGATGAAGCGGTGCGATATCTTTTCGATCATTCTTCGGAGAAGCGTCGATAAATTTTTTGAGACAACGAAATGGAACTGTTTGCTGATCGATGAAAAGACTGAGGCTATACTACAAGATGATGATCATTGTTCCAGTTCGAGCGCAGGCCGGGATCCTTTACCAGAAGCGACTGGCGTAGTCCGATCGTTGTTCCTCTTCTTCGCGATCACCACGTAAGATTTTCGCCACTATTTTGATTTCGTTCTCTCCTAGTTTCTTGCATTTCTCATCATAGTAGACCCCGTCATTTGCAATGATGGAACTGATTTCACTTCTAGGTCGACCGTTCTCGTCCTCCTTCTTCATGGACTCCGATCATGTTTATACTTTAATGTCTTGTAGGTGTATGTATGGCCTCTTATTTTCCTTAATTTTTAGCTGTTTAGATTATTATGCTATCAATCTGTGCTTATTTTTCTCGTAATTTTATGGTGGCTAGTTTAGAATCCATCTGCCGGTCTTGATGATAACATTCGTTGTAGAATGTGATGCTATAACATCGAACTGCAAAATTGCAGTGGCATTTCGGTTGTGAAAGTTACATTTTTATCGCTCAACACAATGGACCATGATCATCAATCACTCAGATCACAATGTCAAATTTCTTCAGGGATCGTCAGACTTTTAGGTGTTGCGAGAATACAGGGGAAGGCTGATGATTGACTTATTGTTGTTGCTGGTGCTGAAAGGTAGTTGCATTCTCATTAGAATGTATTGGATCTTATAACTTGTAAGGTGGAAGTATAAAATTTATAGATTTCTATGATGATAGTCAATAGTGGCTCATTACTTGATTCTTTTAGTCAAACATACAACAAACGTTTTTTGGGTACAAAATTATAAACCATTGATGCAGAGCAAGAGTGGAATTGATGTGGCCAGGCAAACCATGGCAAGGAATTGTCGATTTGAAGCCAATTTTCGGCCGTAGATTGCTAAGGTGAGATCCACTAATCTTTTTGTGTACAAAATTTGTAAGCTAGAAGTTTTTACGTTTAAAAGCTATTTAGATTTATTACAAAACAACTCTGTATTGTTATTTTTTTCATGTAACCATATGAAGTAGTATTTTGGCAAATAGAGATTTTCTCAGTTATCTTCTTGAACATTTAACTTTTTTTATGGGAGAACTACCATCAATATCAATTTCGATTGGGAGAAGGAATCTATTGGTGAAAATTCCTGTGGTTGGCCCTAGGTCAAAAAATTATTGGAGCAACCTATTTGCTGTAGTAAATATCTCACGAGTTATTGGACTAGCAAATTAAGTAAGTTAGGCAATACTTCTTGTTTTGGAACATGAACATTTGATGGTTGGCAGATTTATTGGACTAGCGAATTATGTAAATTAGGCAATACTTCTAATTTTGGAACATGAACATTTGATGGTTGGCAGATTTATTGTAAAAATATGAAATGATTCCTTGTTGCTTTGGGCATATTTCTTTTATGTTAATTAGTTCAACAACTTTTTTGTGTAATGTGTATTTCTTGGAAGGATTACATTTAGGTTGGCGTAAGAGAAATTCTCCAGGAGTGGAGTTGGATTGCTCAGGATTTTAGGGAGATGGAGATTTGTGTGAAGCTCAAAGGCAGATTACCATACCTTTGGAAGGCTCGAGTTTCATGTCTCCATTAGAAATCAGAAAGTTTTGAGCCTTGGATGTACTAGAGGATAGAGTCGAATCATTACCACCTTTGCCATAATAATCTACCAGGTCACATTTTGTGGCTCAATCCACAAATGATGCTACAAATAATTTCAAAAATTGCTTATAACGTTTATCTTTCACAGCTTTTAACATATCTTCAGCAGAGTATTGGATTCGGTCAGTGAGATAATTGGAGTCAGATTGATGACCAGCACTTTCGGCTGCGGGAATATAGGTGTCTAATGACATGCCAATATGGTACTGGGCACAATAACATGCACAATTCAAATTGTTTAACCACTTCATTCTAGCCACGAAGAATCAAATCAAAGAGCTTGTATGATGTTAGTGATTATGATGGCATCGGTAATGAAACCTCTTTTTTCTTTTTTCATTTCCTCTGTTTCTGTTTACTTTTGTTCATTGTGCAGCAATTATTGAAGATATATTTAGGTTGGCATAACTATAAGGGAAGTCTTCCAACTGTGGAGTTGGGTTGCCAAAGAAAAATATCTTTTAACTTCCATTTTGCTGAAAAGGTTGATCTTTTCCGTATGCTACTTTCTTCTTCTTTTAAGTACTTGAGTTTGTGGCTACTACTTGTCAGGGCTTTACATACCAAGTACTCACATCTTCGCTTAACAAAAGCATAGACGAACCTGATTCCAAGATGCTGAGATAAGTAACTTTTTCCTTGTTCTCTTGCTACCTTTTTTAAATGACTTGGAATGCTGTTGTGCTTTTGAGCTGATTATTTATGGACCAGTAAAGTTGACGTGGAAATGTGACCAAAACAAAATAATTTCTACATTTCTTAGTCTTCGTGCCTGATTTCTCTACCATGTTCTTGAACACAATGAAATTTAGTACATTTCTTGGTCTACGTGCCTGACTTCTCTCCCATGTCCTTGTCTATTTTGTTATACTTTTACAAGGTTAAAACATATTCCTTTATATTAGGAAGCACGGACACGTAATTTAGGGGAGTGTCGGTGTCGGACACGCTTCCGACACGTGTCCAATATTTTTATTTTTTATTTTTATACAGACACGTGCGTCTAGGACACGCGGGCGGCACGCGAAATTCATTTCCTTCCATATTCTCTCTTTCAGCCCACCAGCGCATTAGGTTTTCCATTTCTTTTTTAGTTTTTAACTACCCACAAGCCCATCTCCACGAAAGCTTCTGCACCCATGCAAAATCTCCTCTAAGTCAGCCGTCCTTTTCTGCTACCTACGCTTAATCTTCCTCCAATTCTGGTTTCTCGCTTTTGGATGAGTTGAAAGAAGAAGGGTCGAAAGAAAAAAAAGAAGGCGGAGTCGAAATAAGAGTTGGGAAGAATAGTAAGGAGTGCATGCTAACAAGTGGCAATTTTTTTGCATGCAATCTCTCCTTCATTATTATGCATGCAATCTCTCCTCCATGTCTAACAAACGGCAGTTTTTCACTTCTAATATTTATGTCTAGGCAGTGCTTTTTTCCAAGACTAAAAGATGAGAGGCCTTGTTTAAATTTTAGTAATAATTCTGTTTTCTTACCATATCCTTTTTATCTCTGCAAATTCTCTTTTTTTTTTTCTTTGAATATCTTATAGGTTAAAATACTAGTTTGATTTTTGTACTTTGTTCATTTTGGTCCTCGTACTTTGAAAGTGTTCATTTTGGTCCCTGTACTCCGAACCAAGTTTAGTCTTTGTATTTTGAAAATATTCATTTTAATTTCTATACTTTCTATACTTTTTTATCATTTTAGTTCCTCTTCATAAAATTTTAACACATATTTTACACATAACGACAACTCTTTCGTATAAAGTAATGTTTACATTTGAAGAAATATATTGATTTTAGTCTCATGTTTAAATTGTGATATAACAAATGAGATTAAAAATAAAATTAAAGGATTAAAGTGGTCATTTTTTAAAAGTAGAGGAGTCAAAATGTACATTTTGTGGATCAAAACGAATATTTTCAGAGTACGGTAACCAAACTGAACCAAGGCTGCAAGTTCAGGGACCAAATTAATATTTTAACATATTTTATATCTCTACTTTTCCTTAATTATTTAAGTCAATTTTTATTTAAAATTAAATAGTTTTTTTAATATTTAATATATTTTAATATAAAAATTAACGTGTCCATGGTGTGTCGTGTCTTACTTTTCTGAAAATTGGCATGTTACCGTGTACGATATAATGTCATTTTGCTAATAAATAGAGTTCTCTTTGTTATCATGTTGAATAATCTGAGATTTATTCTCTATCATGTAAGCGAAATTATATTTTATAAAGTTTTCCAAGTTTAGAAAAATAAATGATATCCTTCAATTTTGGCCACTTATTTTTCACCGCTCACAGTGGGTGCTGCCTTCTTCTTCTTCTTCAAGCTCCCAAAAATCAGCCACAAAAAATGGGGTGGATCTTCCTGTATTTCTTCTTCTTCTATGCTCTTCACGTCTTGATTCTTCGTCTTCTCAGCAGAGTTCAGAAACGCCCACCATCCCCTTTCCCAGCCCTCCCCTTTGTCGGCCACCTCCACCTTCTCAAGCCACCCCTTCACCGGACCTTCGCCAAAATTTCCGACCGCTACGGTCCCATTCTCCTCCTCCGATTCGGATCTCGTCCGGTCCTTCTCGTCTCTTCCCCTTTCGCCGCTGACCAATGTCTCACCAAAAACGACGTCATTTTCGCTAACCGCCCTCGCCTTCTCGCCGGTAAACATTTAGGCTATGACTACACTTCTCTTGTTTGGGCTTCTTATGGCGATCACTGGCGCAACCTCCGTCGAATCGCCTCTCATCTCCTCTCCTCCACTAATCTCCAAGCTCTCTCCTCCACACGCGCCGACGAGGTCCATTCCCTACTCCACAGCCTCCACCAGAAATCAGATCAGATCGTGGACGTCAGAACAGTGCTCTTCGAGTTCATGCTTAACGTTATGATGACGATGATCGGAGGGAAGCGTTACTTCGGAGACAACACGGCCGATGCAGAGGAATCTCGGAACTTCCAGGAGATCGTTTCTGAAACATTTCGCCTGTCGGGGACTAATTTTGCCGATTATTTGCCAATACTGAAGTGGATTATTGGAAGCAGAAGAATCGAAAGGAGTTATATTAATCTGCGGAAGAGGAGGGATGGATTCATGCAGAATCTCATAGAGGAGCACAGAGAGATCAAGAAATTAGAGATGCGCACCCAATCTCCATTATCGGGAGAGACGAAGAAGAAGAAGACGATGATCGAAGTGATGTTGTCTCTTCAAGAATCGGATCCCGATTACTACACCGATGAAATCATCACAAGCCTCATGCTGGTAATATGAAATCTGAAATTAATTAAGAACTAACTACTTGTTAATTAGTTACCTTTTTGCTAATCATAAATATTTACAGGTTCTACTATCTGCTGGAACCGACACGACGGTTGCGACCATGGAGTGGGCGATGTCGTTACTGCTGAACCATCCTCACGCTCTGGCAAAAGTAAGAGCCGAGATAGATGATGTCGTTGGCCAAGAACGACATGTCGACGAATCTGATTTGGAAAAGCTTCGGTATCTGCAGTGCGTAATAAAGGAGACGCTGCGGATGTACCCGGTGGGGCCCTTACTGGTGCCCCATGAGTCGTCCGCAGATTGTACCGTGGGTGGGTACCACATCCCACGTGGCACAATGCTACTGGTGAACGTGTGGGCGATCCACAACGACGGCAGAAACTGGGAGGAGCCGGCGGCGTTCAGGCCGGAGAGATTCTTGGAGGCGGCAGCGGGCGGCGGAGATGGGTTGAGATATGTGCCGTTTGGGTTTGGGAGGAGGGGGTGCCCGGGGGAGACGCTGGCGGTGAAAGTGGTGGGGCTGGTGGTGGGGTCGCTGATTCAGTGCTTTGAGTGGGACAGAATTGGAGAGGAAATGGTGGACATGGCCGAGAGAACAGGCCTCACCATGCCCAAGGCCCACCCCTTACAAGCAAAGTGCAGGCCCCGTCCAATTCTCTACCGCGCCATGTAAGTTTACACATCCAAATCTATTTGCTCTGAAATGTATCTTACCAGCTTAGGTTATATACTGATGCCGTGTAAAATAATGTTAAATACTTCACACCAAATCTAAATAATTAACTCAAATATACTGTGCTTAGTTTGGGGCTTATATAGTTTACATTTTAGATACGACTGTTGTTGGTTACTATTTCAATATCAATCAACATACTGTTATTAAGTTTACTTTAATTAAGTGAACGTCGGACATTTTCATGTAGTTAGATGGGCCAAATTTATAACTCCTCTTACTTTGGGTTTTCTATTTTCTATAGAATTTTAGTTAGCTAGTTGTGAGCATTCTTAAGACTGGAATGCTATTTGTAGATAATGGTTCTTTGATCTAGCTGGATGCTTTCTAGATTTGGTTTAAGCATTTTGTTGTTTTGTTTAGAGACTTTCTTAACTATTTAGTGCAGATTGATCCTTAGACAAACTTTTTAACTTAGTTTTGAAGTGAGATTAATTTTAACACAAATTAATGCTCAATTCGATAATTTTTAAACCAAAGCGAGCATTATGCTCGCAGTAATTGGTATATATCTACAACTAAGAGGTTGTGAGTTCGATCCTCATCCCCACATGTTGTGTTCAAAAAGGGGAAACAAAATCCATAATATTTAAAGTTTAAGAATAAATCAAATCTCAGGGAACTATTATAAACGATTCACTTCTATAGCTTCCTTCCATGATTTATAAGGATATTTCAAATAATTGAATAAACTTTTAATGTAATTTGAAAAGTTATTCTCTTTTTCCGATGGGTTCATAAGTCAACTAGATTAATATTAATTAGCATTGGAGAATATAAACCGGCAACCATTCAGGTAAACAATTCATAGAATCAATGAAAAGTATCTACTGGTCTTTCTTATTTCTATAAACTATGAAAAATAGTCACCAAACCACACCTGAACACTCTCCTATACAAATTTTATCATAAATGTACAAAACAGGGTTAATATTTCATTATTTACTTTTCATTTTACCAGAAGATCATATTCTCATTCTTGAGCATCTGCCTCAGATGCTCTGCGTCCGAATCTTATGCCAACTTTAAGTGAGTAAATAGATGTGTACAGTTAGGGTAGGCAAGAATCTTATTCCCCATGGTGGCAGCTGAATAATTGAACCGCATAAGATTTCAGAACCCACTTTTGCTTTCGTTACCCTCTCCCTGTTCAATCTTGACCTATATATAAACATGCCTCTGTCTGGCTTGCAACATACAAAGATCCAAAACACACTTGTTACACAAACGTAAACCAAAACCAGCTTGATCGCATCGAGCCATGGCCCAAGCAGGATCTCTATCGGCCGAGACCGAGAGTCTCAGCCACATGTTTAGCCTAATAGAAGCATTCCGAGCATTCGACGCAGACAATGATGGGCTGATCACGGCACCGGAGGTCGGGGGGATCATGGGTTCGCTCGGGTACAACCTGAGCGAGGAAGACGTGAATTTGATGATGGAGGAAGGAGACGTGGACAAAGACGGGCTGCTGAGCATGGGGGAGTTTCTGGAGATGAATGCAAGGAGTGTGGAGGTGGGGGAGGTGATGGGGAGCTATCTGAAGATTGCTTATGAGGCTCTGAAGGCAGATGGGGATGATCTGGTGAGCGGGGAAGAGCTTTATGATGTGTTTTTGAATGTGGGATTGGAGGTTTCTGTTGAGGATTGTAATGCTATAGTGGCTTCCATGGATGGGGATGAAGATGGAGCTGTGTTTCTTGAGGATTTGAAACTTATTGTTGATTCTCTTCACCCCAACTCCAACCCCCAACTCTAGCCCCTTAATTAATTAGTTCTTCTCTCTGTTTCTATCTACTTTTCTAATTACGTTTTTACATATGTATTTTCACTTCAATAGTTTCTGCTTTATCAATAAGTTTCTGCTTCTTCTTCCACTTTACAATTTCATCCCATGTATTTTCTTGTGTTATTTGAAGAGACTGCACTGCTCTGCTGTGTTCAGTCCTAATCCTGCCGTTTCATATCCTGTGGCTTTCTTCCTTTCTTCCTTTCTTGGGTGGGGGTGAACTTTTATTTTTACAGGTTTTGTGTGGTTCTTCATCTTGAGGTTTTGAAAAAAATATTCATTCCACCCATCAAGTGAATTTTAAAAAAAAAAGGATTATATTGGATGGAAGACTTCGTGATGATTGCTAGGTCTCATTAGATTGGCGGGCGGTGCTGGACTCATTTCGAAACAAGAAAGGTGAAAATGAAGAGTTAAAGGTTGTAGTAGAGGTCGAAAGGTAGTAATAAGTCAATCTATGTGTCATCGATATCTCTTGCAGCCCCTAAGATACCAATGAACTAAGGCCTTCATCTATCACTCAGGTCTCCATTGATAATGAGAACTTTTAGTTCTAGATGAAATTGGAAAATCAATTCCAAGATCATCCAAACGGGTCAAAGAGGCTTAACTCAAGAAATCACTCGAGAGAAGAAATGATTTTTTCGCTGCTTAAACCTTACAAGTTTAATTTATACGAAGGTAAAAACATGATTAATTTCTATAGGTGGAGGATAAACCTAATTTTGCAAGTTGGAATTAGGAATCTCTTTGACTAGTTTTGAACATTTAAAATTAAAACATTTTTCCTCTACACTTTGTTGATTGGAATATTCGAAATTTAATTTTGTATGCTAGCTAGCTGGTTTCATCACTTTCAAAGTTCAACCCTCATGATCTCCATAAAAATAAGTGTCTTAAAGTTCGAATTAACATAAAAGAGATTCTGATATGCATTCTCCTTAGGATTCTTCTGTTTTTTTTTTCTTTTTCCTTTTTCTTTTCAACAAACTTTTTGAAGGATTCTTTCTTTTTTCCCTTCTCAAAAGCACCCGATTCACAATATATCACGAAATTGAAAAATCCACATAATATATATTTATGATATATAAAATTAGAAAATATTTCATTTCTAATTAGTACCATTAAATACCTAACAATTAAGAGAAATAAATGCAAAAACGACATCCAGTCCATAAGGGCCACACGCGCCTTTTTTTTGTTTGTTCCGGAGTCGTTTTGGCAATTGTTTTTAAAAAAGAATAATTTGTCAAATATTTGTTCTGGAGTCGTTTTGGCAATTGTTTTTAAAAAAGAATAATTTGTCAAATATTTAATCATGGTATAGACAAGATTTTCATTAGAACCAAGTATTTTCTTATAACATTAGTCTAACATGAACTTAACTTTACTTTAGTAATTAATACTTCTAAAAAATCATAAATTCCAAATTTTCATCCTTGTCCTGCTCTTGAGACGATGTAATATTTAAAACAAATAATAATAAATAACATTCTGTCACTTTAAAAAAATACTTTTAAAGCATATCTTCAAATATGAAGATTTTTCAACAAACCCAGCCCATACGTATATCTTTCGACCATGGTTAAGGAACAATCCCAACAATTTTAAATGTTTTCCAACTCCTCAGGCATGAGATCAAGCCACACAACACACATATTAATCGTCTCTTAAAATATTTTGCCACAAACTTTTTTTAAACTCCTACCAACTATTTTCCTACACACTAAAGAATAGAAATATCAAATACATTGCCAACAAGTTCCATTGCTTTCACTTTCTATCCCCCACACACAAACAAGCTATTGGAAAACTCACAACCCTAATTTCCAAGCATGTATATATGTCACGCCATTTTATTTACTTACAGAGAAATGAAAGCATTAACCCTAAAAACCATAATATGGAGTACTCGTAAGAACAACAGTAGCATCATGTGGAGCAAGTAGTTTTAAATTTTTTTTTTCTTTTTTACTTGCTTTGGCCACACTTCTTCATCCGATTCGGTGGCGGGCGACTGATTCGTCTACCGACGGGGGTGGCTCTGTAGCTCCGGCAACCGTCGCTCGGCGGCTCCAGCACTGCCGGAAGATAGTTATTGGCGTGGCACCAAAATATCTTGTTCCTGAATGCTTCCATGAGAGCCTTAAGCCCCTGAACATAACAATATATAACATGCAATAAATCAACCAGACGACACCGTTTATAAAAAAAACAAACATTAATCTTAATTAAATTGACAAAATAAATGAAACGGCGACGTTTGGGAGTGGACCTGAAGTTTGGCGCGTCTTATTTCGCAGACTTTATTGTTGAGTAGAACCTCCCAGTGGCGGCGGTGATAGGCTTTACAGAACTCGGAGGCTGCGGCGGCGGTCGTGAAATTTACAAACGCGTACCCCAAATTTGAAATCTTCCCATTGTACCAATACTTTCTATATATGGAAAGAATAGAATACAAATTTTACTTTTTAGTACATGCAAAACCAAAATCCACGAGGGTTATTACAGTAATTATACTGACAAGTACTACAGACCGGAAGTCCATGGGCAAGTACACAAAGTCGTACGACGACCTTTGGGTTTGGCTGCCCCGGTCAGAAGCTCCATTCTTCGACTTGCAGTGCTCGTCTAAAATGTTCAGAAGATGGTGTCGCCTATTCAAACAATACAAAACATTAATAAAAGAAAAAAAATGCTGTTTCGAAGACATTAATTCATCAAAATTATAAAAACAAAAACAAACAAAAAAAAAAGAAGATGAAATCCTATGATAGAAGTTGATAAATAGAGACCTCAATTGATTGGGTATATTTTTAATCATTATGGTGGTGGTTTCTGAGGGGAGGATTTCGGCATCACCCGTGACGACCGGCGGAACCCAATTTCCGATCTTGCATTTTCTGCCGGAATTCCTCTGACCGACTACTCCGACGACGGAATTCGCAGCGGAAGAGGGCCACGGCGGAGGAAGCGGAACGACGTCGTAGAAGGGCAGCATGGGGTGGTCGACGTAAGAGGCGTATCCATGGGTTGGGCCCCAGAGAAGGGCCCGCGACGGAGCTGCTACAGGGAAGGCTTTGAAGAGGGGGACGAATTGTGGGTTGGGGTGGAACGGCGTCGTATAATGAAAAGGGTTAGCGTTAGGGTTTAGAGGAGCGGTGCGACGAGAGAACGCCATTTGCATTGGCATGAGAAAGAACTCGGGAGAAGGAGAAAGGGTTTTGAAGTTGAAGTTGAAGTTGAAGTTGAAGGGATTATTATTATTTTTCAATTGATTAGAGATAAAGAAGGGAGCGTTTGGGGTTTCGTGGGGTATGGAATCGAAGTACATAATGATGAAATATAATTAAGTATTTTGGATTAATCGAAGATTTACTGAAGCTTTCATTTAATGCTTCTGCTTCCCATCCCCTGGCGCCGCCCCGCCCCGCCAGTTCCCATTGCGCTTACTTACAATTTCTAGTTCGATCCAGATCAACCTGGATGAACAGACCAAAAATCTTACTAATATATAAATGTTTGTGGCTTTATCTCTCAGTATTTTAAGGGGTGGGGAGCTGTTGGAAACGATGGGGTCCAGAAAGCGTAGAATTAGAAGCGTCTCGGCCAGTTGGAAGAAATGAGAAATGTGGGTTTCATTTTGAGTTTGTGGATTGGGAAAAGAAGAATTGAGAAAGAGAGAAAAAACAGTGTAACACAATCGACAATCTAAATCCAATCATGGCTTCGCGATCTCGTGGTTCGAAAAGCCTCGAGCAAACTGGATACTTATAAAGCCAAGGGGACAATAATTACGATTTATCAGAAATATCTCACGAATCGAGGCCTCCCTAATTTTAATTAATACAGCCTTATTGTAATTGTTAAATTAAATTAAATTAAAGTAAGTGTCTTTTCAATTTCACCATCTCTCTAGGCTGCCTAACTTGCCCTTCTCTTGTAAACACAATTATACGATCCAGGGCTTCTTCACTGTCAGCAAAAAATACTTGATGGAAATATTCTAACATTTGTCCCCTTTGGTCAAATTATCCAATCTTTTATTTAATTTTAAACTATATGAAATTACAATATTAAATTATTTCTCTTGCATTCTGGAGGAATTATATGAATTTTTTACTCTCTTTCGGTCACTTCTAAAACTAGGTTTTTTGTTTTTCCTACAAATAGAGAGATATGTTATTCGACGTATAAGGATGTTGTGGGTTAGGATTTATTGCTAATTTTTGAAAAAAAATGAAGTTGAATGGTTTTGATTTGCAAAGGAGATGAGAATTTATGATTCTTGATGAAATAAAGCAGTGGAAAAAAAATGGCCAAAGCTCACGCCGGTTCAAAGAAAATCCTCTCGGGTTATGAAATTCGTCCAAAAATATTGGTTCACGAGCCACGTTTCCATAACTTGGATTGTTTTTCGGGCAAGATTGACATTTACAATCAATATATATATATATATATATATATATATTAATTTACTTGTAAATTTTATTAATAAAGTTCATCTTGGCTTGTTGGTTCCAAACGTGGATAGCAATCTCTTCAACCTAGGGTTCAATTCCAACTCAATTTGAAGAAAAAAAAAATTAATGGGTTTAGTACTCTTCAGCTAACGGTTCAATTAATTTCGATTCAATTTTAAAAAATCATTTAATGTAATTTGTAGTTACCAACTACTTAAATCTAAAATATTATAATATATTATATTTCACATTTTTTAGTTTAAAAAAATAATAGAATGAATTTATAACATAATATAATATATTTATAAAACTTTTTATCTCTTTTAATATAATTCTACCTTTTAAAATTTCAAATTCAAAATTCAGTTTTTGGACAAATCCATCACTTATTTATTTACTAAATCAGATTCAATGAATTTGAAAAAAAAAAATACAATGTATTCCATGACAAACAGACCAAACATTTGGATTGAGTGGGTTTAAACCAAATTCAACACCGAATTGAAAGGCTGGTTTAAGAAAAATTATAAAACAAAGTTAGCATTGAACTTGTTGAAAATTGAACAAACTGAACCACTAAACGTATCAAAATCAACAAAGTTTGTTGATTCCATCAACCTTTTATATATATACATACACACACACTCTAGAAAATCAAATGAATCGACAAATATAATTTAAACTAACTAGGAAAGTTTGTAGGTTTGTAAATTT